TCGCAGCACAGCTCAAATGCCACTTCCTCTGGGAAGCCCTCACCAGTCTCCCAGACTGATTTCCCCACTCATAGACTGAAGTTCTATCCCCTGACCTTTCCATAAGCTCTGTTTTTATCACTGGAGAGCACTTACTACCTTATCACCCCAAGGGTCCATACAGCTCATACACCCCTCTCAGCACCAGGCACAGGTCTTGGACAAGTAGACACTCTCAAGATAAAGGAACAGAGGCAAAATGCATGGGGAAGAGGACAGTGTGGACCCCCCCAACTGACCACTAGTGCTTTGACCTTTTTTCCCTTTGATAGTTTTTTAATATTAGAGTTGTTAGAACTAAAGGCATTTTGCTACTTTTAAGAACTAGAAAACAGAACACACTGTCCCCTGGGAAGTTTCTCTGAAAGGGTCCCTGTGCTACATGGGGAAGGCTGACGGTTTTGGCACCATGAAGGAAACTTGGCCTCTGATGTCCAGATACACAACCAGGCAGGTGTGTTGCTGAAGGCTTTCCGAGAAGGGCACTTAAGGCATTCTCCTCTCTCAGTGGATCTGAACCTCCTTGCCTTTCTGAAGGGTCCCATCAGAAGCCCTGGCTTAACTGACATCCCTTCTGGACTGCAACTTTGCAATAAATAATCCAGAACTTTAAAAAAATGTCCATATTCTTTAGCTCCATAATTGTCCCAAGAAATGTATCCCAGGCATATGACCAGGGATGCAAAAACTCATGTTCATCACATTACTTATAGTCAGCACACATTTGTGAAATACTGTATTTCTAACAATAGGGAAATGGAATAAAATCCTGCCATCAAAAAATCCTTCTTTCAAAAAAATTGATGATGAATCCAGTCTCATCTCTCTCATGGGAAAAATACTGAAAGGAGACCTCAGATATTAGTGATCATATCCGTTCTTTATGTCCCTTTGTATTTTCTAAATTTCGGCAGTTGCCCACACTGGACACACATGCTTTAACAGAGAGGGTCAAAAGATGTGTTTCCCACCTGACTCACCCCAGGTGTTGTCTGGGCAGCCACGCTGAGTCCAGTCAGGAGCGAGTCGCATCTGGTGTCACCACACAGCTAGGAGTGGCTTTACTTTCTACACTAACATTACCACCCCCACAGGCCCCGCCTTCTGTTTTGTTTTGTTTTTTTCCATTTTTCTTTCTCATCACACCCCAGTTTGAACATTAAGGCCTGCAGGAAATTGAAAGTTGTGGTTTTATATCAAGGGCGTGTCATGTATTGTACTTACTCAGGTCTGAATACTGACAGCAAAGATCAAATAGAATCAGAACACCATGGCCCAGCTTGGTGTCCGGACTGTTTCGTGACTGGATCTGGAGTGGCATTTTGAGAAGCCCCTCTAAAAAGTTAGTTGTCCCTTGACTGGTTCCGTTTCCTCATCAGGGCAGGTAGGTCCTGATGGTAGAGCCCGGCGTGGAAATGAATGTATGCCATCCTTGCCTGGCCCCCCTCGACATAAACACAAGGCCCAGTCTGCCCGTGGGTGCTCACTTACTGACACAGCCGTGCTAAGGGCATGATTTGGGCAAGTAGAAAACGGGACAAAAATTCTAGGTAAGATATGCTCATAGCTGTCTGGAAGCAAAACACAAGCTGTGTTTCTCTATCAAGGGTTTACAGATGTCCTGAATTCCACTGCCCTCTGTTTTTTCTTCAAAAAAAAAACAATTTTTTGGCCATCCTGAGGATATGTTAATGTAACTGTAACATTCTTCCAAGTAGAAAAATCCAGAGAGGAAGCAAAGTTCTAGGCAGAGAGAACTGTGCTTCTTTATACATATATAAGGAATATGTATTAGGTATATATTTTATATATTCTGTGTAACATTTGAAGAAGCCAGTACTTTCATTTTCAGAGTAACTGAGGCACAGTTTGCAACCCAGTCTGCACAGCCCACAAATACGACCGCTTAACATGGGAGTTCATGCAAAGCCTACTATGTACACACCTGCCATCCAGGAGATGTCCAGCTGTAATCCAGAACCACACCAAGGTTTTCCCCCGTCTGACCCATTTTGATCTCATCTAATAGGTGATGTTTTGTCTTCTCCACAGAATGTGAATGGCATAAAGTACCACGCTAAGAATGGTCACAGAACGCAGATTCGTGTCCGCAAACCATTCAAATGTCGTTGTGGTAAGAGTTACAAGACAGCTCAGGGCCTGCGGCACCATACAATCAATTTCCATCCCCCGGTGTCGGCTGAGATTATCAGGAAAATGCAGCAATAACATGCTGGTCATAACTGTGCCAAGAAACCCTCACCAGCAGTTGCTGATTTTGAAAACAGCCACCTTTTTTTCAGGGGAAGCATTCAGCAACCCTTTAAAGAATTAAATGCATGCTTTAAAATTTTTTCTGTAATTTTGGAATGATGTATCTTTGTAGAGTTAATGATTTTGTACATTTTGCACATGTAATCGTCATACTCATTTTCATTACTTTGATATAAGGTGCTAAACAAAAAAAGCTCTAGGTTCTTCAGCACATTTCCCCCAAAACAATAAAATTGAGGGCATGTTGCATATTATTTAGTTGTATTGCAGTGATATCAACTGGGGGGAGGGGGCGGGGAGGGGCTGGCACTGAGATTTTTTTTTTTTCCCAAGATTGTAATGTGATTGAAGTTTTTCAACACATCAACTCACTATGTTCAAAACCAAAATAATACCTTCATTATCAAACTGGTTACCATGCCTTACATAATGGAGTTAGTATTTGTGAGTAGAAAGACTTTAGGTAATGGAAATATAAATAAGAATGTTTAACATAATATGCTAAAAATATTTTCATATTTAAATAACATACATAAAAGGTGTGCTTTCTGTGTTTTATATTATCTTGCAAATCCTTCTGCCCCTTAAAAAGCTGAAAATCTTGCCATCTGACTTACCAATCATTTTAGTGTTATAAATGGCATTTTTGTACAGAATAATCTATTCAGTTCACTCATTAATTTAACACACATTCATTGAGTGCCTGCTGGGTGCAAGGGATTGTTTATGCCTATTGATATTTCTGGACCAAGATACCAGTTTAGTGAGATACTTTTCCCTAAAATCTGTTAGAAAACACTTTGAAATACTTAAGTGCAAATTTTGTGTGTGTGAAATTTAGTTCTATCTTCATCTTTAGGTGAAGTTTTAAAGCACTTTGTAGTTCTCTATTGCCAACAGAGTTACTGTTTTATGTGTTGCCAATTCTTGCAACCACTGTCCTAACAAACTGTGGGTTGCAAATAAAATTCCAAGCACGTTTCAAAGAGAACATTTTTGTTAAGACCCCTATTGCCTCCTTTTCATGGTCATTGTGTTTTTAGACTTTTTTTTAAAGGCACATTTTCCATCACACTGTAGAGGTCTGTATTCCCACTGGAAATGTCTGTTTAGCTTTATAAAACATTTTGCTGAAATATGAAATTGAGCCTTATTGACAATTAAGTGCTTCTTGCAGCAGGTGGTCAAAGAGTGACTAATATGACCCATTAGAGTGACCTACGTCTGGACCATTCCTGAAGTTTTTCTCACCAACAATACCATCATGCCTTGAGTGTTCTTTTCTCCCAAGTGCTATTCCTTAAACATGCAAGAGTTTACCAATTGCCTCATTATGCAATAAAATTGCTCTGAGATGGCTAACTGCCCACAAAACTGGTGAAAAGCAAAGCTTGAATTGCTTCTTTCTTCCCATGTTCTCATGTGATGGAAGTCTTACAGCTGGGAAGGTGTCCCTCCCTCAATTTTTCAGACAGTTCGAAAGGTGACCGTTCTGCTGGCCAGATGGGTAAGCTTCTATATTCTTAAGTTGGGAATCCCTCATAATGAGGGATTTTAAAGTATTTATAAAGACACTGCCCTCAAAAAATTTCCTCAGATCTCTGAAGAGTGGTCTTGGTCCTGAATATACAGTGTTATCTTACATGTTCAAAAGGGTGATCCAGACATGAGAAGCAGCTAGCTGGTGCATAAGAAGGCCCCACGTGGATATTTCGTGTCCGCCTGCAATTGACCGCAATTGTTTTGGGCCGGCAGTTGTTACGTAGCTTCGCTCCTTCTAGCGCAAGAATTCAGGCTGGAGCAGTAGTTCAACAGCTAAACAGTCATAAATAGTCATTGTGCATGTTCAATTTCTTTCAACTCTAAAACAAATTCGATTTCTATTTACTTACTCATTGTGACAGTATTACTAAACAGGTAAGGACGGGAATATTTTGTTATACCGTGTATAGTGAATGTATTGTACTGTGTCTGTGAAAACTGTGCTTTAAATTATATTTTCATATGTTTTGCTGGGGACAGAGCACATTAAGTTTGAAAGCAACAGAGGTTTGTTTTAGAACTGAAGGCAACTTAATCGAAATTGCTGTCCAAAAAAGCTGCTTATAAATGTAAATGAAATCACATTTAAAATAAACTGCCTCTGACCCAAAATAAACATGGCTCTTTATTTTCATTAATGTTCGTTACCGCTCTAACACTGGAAGGATAGTTTTAAGGTTGGCATGCTCCATCATTAACTGATGCAACACAAAAATGCTACCATTGACCGTATTTTACCTGCATCTCCCAGGAACAGAAGACAGACATGGAGTCTTCAAAGGAGCCTTCCAGTCAGCCATGGCTTGTTTTGCCCTACACCAAATTATTTTTAAGGAATCCAGCAATACAAATTCTGCTTTCAGAAATAAACACAAGCAAGATGATGTGTATGCAGTCCACACACAGCACACTGAAACACCGCCACACTGCATATTAGGTTAACATCCAAGCTTATTTGCTTAAGACAAAGCTTAAATATTTGGGTAACTACAAAAGCAGCAAAATCAAAGTCAGTAAATTCTTAACATTCATATTTTAAGAGAAATACCATTCAGAAATTTGTTTAAAGGCCCAGACTAAGGGGAAAAAAGTTCAGACTTAATGAAAAGCTATCGCAAATAAATCTGACAACCAAATTACACATCTCCAAAAAAATGTGTCCTCTTTAATGTTAATGAGAATACTATACAGAGATATAACACATTGATTTGTGTTTATACATCACATTTTTAATCAAGAAAATGTGAAAAAGATATGGATACATTTTCTGTGATTTTATGCCACCAACACCACCATTTAGTAGATCATTTAGTATGAAACAATTGCACTAACCTATCTTGTTCCATTTTCCCATTAGGTAGAAATACAACTTCAAGATGGCTTAAAAATAATTATTCAGGTCATTCTAAAATGTTTTAGTCATAAAATTAGCAAAATATGCCTTCTAATCCTAAAGCAACATTTTAAATATAAAAAGGTATGTGCTATACTGCAAGCATGTGAGCTCATTCTACATGCATTTCCATTTCTAAAGAAAGTGAAAAAACCATCCTTTCACGGGCTAAATTATGGAAGCTTCTGTATTCAACGAATTTGCAAGACTAATGATGAATTACTTTTGTTACATAATATTTAGTAGTCATGCTCAATCAACGAGGTCAACAGAAACTTCTAAATATGCTAAATGACACACTACATATATATTTTTTCAGCCTGTAACATTAAAATAATCCATCTCCTTTATTCATATACTTTTGCAAATGGGAATAAATAAAGATACAAACACAGAAAAACTTTTCTTAAGCTGGTAAAATTAACAGGGGTTACAATTTTATTTACTGATAAGCTACAGACAGACCCTGACCCTAGTAACAAACATGAAACTCAAAAGTAGCACTTGTTCAAAAAAGAATGGCAGAGAGAGGGTGTGCGGAAATGATACCTTGTGGTCTCCATAGTGGTCTATTTGAGGTGATTTTTTTTTTTAATTGCTAAATTGTATTACTAACTCAGAATAAAAAGTAACTAGTCAAAATTTAAAACATTCTGATCAAAATGGGTCTGCACATGCCTTTCAAAGCCCTGCTGGTCATAGTCAGGAGGGAACTGCTCGCTGCACATGGGGCACACCTTCCAGTGACTTTCAACGTGTTCTTCAAATTTGCTCTGATCATAGTTGGGAGGGAACATTAATTCACAGAGGGGACACTTCTTGTGAACATCAAAGCTTCAAGAAATAGGAAAATGAAAGAATTACATTATTTCTAATAAGTAAAATTTCTAATAGCAGTATCCTCAAGATAAGATGTTATATTTTTCTAGTAACTCACCCTAAATAACTTAGCTTGAAAGTCTTCATTTACTTCAGAAACCTCTTTCTGCTTCTAAAATACTTGCTACTGACAATTGTGTAAACCACTGATAAAGCCTCTAAATTGAGTTTCACAATTAAAGTAACAAAAACATTTTCATTAAAATCCCCAAAAATGCAAGCATTATTACATAAAATGAAGGTTATTAACAAGAATTCCTCAATTTTTAATTAACAGAAAATACCTTCTGTAAAACTAGAAAGATAAACGGAACTTCGTATCTCCCAACAGTGTATTCATTTGAGCTTAACAACTGCAAGTATTGATTAGCACCAGTTCTCAAAGTACCGCATCCATCAGCATCATCGAGAACATGTGTTAAAACAGATTACTGCTGGAATGCCTGGGTGGCTAGTAGGTTAGGTGTTTGCCTTTGGCTCAGGCGGTCACCTCAGGGTCCTGGGATAGAGTCCCCAAGGTCAAGCTCCCTGCTCAGCCAGGAGTCTGCTTCTCCCTCTCCCTCAGTCCCTACCCCCTGCTCATGCTCTCTCTTAAAAGGAAAAAAAAAAAAAGAAAGTACACATTGTTGGGACCCACACCAAGAGTTTCAGGTTCAGGAGGTCTGGGGTACAGCCTGATCATATGCATTTCTAATAAGTTTCCAGGGACCATACTTTGAGAACCACTCATCTACATAATCCAAATTCTACACAGGAAAGAAAAAAATTACCTGGAATCAAAGCAAAAGCCTGTTCCATGCCCACGTAAATGCTGACTTGGAGGATCAGGAGCACTGGGCACATTCTCCTCTTCCTAGGCAAAGAATAATTTTGCAACTTTTGAGGAACGTTGAAACAATATAAATTGTTGAATTTAACAATATAAACGTTGAAACAATATAAATACAAAATAAAAGGAATTAAGAATTACCCTTTCTAAAATTTTACAAAAGTAATCAGATTTTCACATAAAGGTATAAAAGTCAATTTTTACAGAGCGTTTCACAATGCACTGAGTCTTACCTTCTTGAAAAAAAAAAAAGCAGTACTTAGTGGAACTGAGACTACACCACACCTGTATGTGTGAATAAAGTATGGATCTATAGACTTTTTGAACCTCTATATAGGTAACCTTTTGACCTTATCATTCCATACAGTAGGTGACCACTTTCATAAAAATCTTAAAACTGCATTATTTTTCCTATTATTCTCATTCAATAAATTTTGCAAGACAGTATTCCTCTTTTGACAACATACATCCCACTGCATGACATACAGCAATTTTTAAAAGAAAACTAGTAAAATATGAGTTTGCATGTATATGTTCTTGGGCACACAGGCTAATCAAGCTGGAAAACCATGTTAAAGCAAAGCAATGTACCAACTACAGGGTTCAAAACCCTGTTGTGAAAGAATGAAATTCAGTATTAAATATCTGACTAACAGATTGTCCAGTAAGAGTCCTAAAAACCTATATAAATCACATCCCTGTGGTCACTTTAAAAAAAAAAAAAAAAAGTAGGCTCCACATCCGATGTGGACCCCAACATGGGACTTGACTCACGACCTAGAGATCAAGACCTGAGCTGAGATGAGAAGCCGGATACCTAACCAACTGAGCCAACCAGACACCTGCCCCACTGTGGTCACTTTTTAGAGATCTGTATGCTCTCAATAGCCAAATACAGACTCACTTCACATCAAGAGCAGTCACATCTCCCAAAAGCCCATCTGCTTTATTCCTGAGCAGTTCTGTTAGCTGCTCTGTTATGAACCAACAGTCTGTAAAGAGATCAGCAGGCATACAGGGACTGATGGAAGTCCCTATATGGCCAGGTAGTTATGCTTATTCCAGAGCTGCTATTAATGGGCTAAGTAGTCAAGTCTGTCATGTAAGAGGTACTAAGAAAATGTATGTGGTGTGAAATTCAAATGAACCAAAAGACAAACTGATTTATCTTGCTGGGGAGCAGAAGGTAGGGGAGGTTACTTGGCTATTATTTTGATGATTATCCCTTCCTGAAAGGTCCAAGAAAGGGTAGGGCCTCTTTTTTATTTTGTATTTATCACATAAGAAAATATTTTTGCTTACATAGGATTCCCTCCTAAATAACCCACTATGTACATATTTTTTCAGTGTGGTAACATTATAATAATTCCTGTTTCCTTTACTTAGTTTTGCAAACTGGGAAACAGAGTTTTAAAAAAAACCCTTCTAATCTTCAGTAAAATTAAAAGAGGTTACAACTCTTTTTATTGATAAACTAAAGACTGACCCTGACCCTAATTAACACCAAACTCAAAATAGCTCTTGGTCAGTGAAGTATGGTAGAGGGGTGCCTGGATAGCTCAGTCATTAAGCATCTCCCTTTGGCTCAGGTCATGATTTCATGGTACTGGGGATTGAGCCCATATCAGGCTCCCTCCCTGTTTCTCTCTCCCTCTACCACTCCCCTTGCTTGTGTTCTCTCTCTAGATACCTGTCAAATAAATAAAATCTTTTAAAAATTACTTATTTATTTGAGAGAGAGAGAGAGAGAGAGAATGAGAGAGAGGGAGCATGAGGGGAGAGGTCAGGAGCAGACCCCCTGCTGAGCAGGGAGCCCGATGCCAGGACTCAATCCCAGGACTCCAGAATCATGACCTGAACCAAAGGTAGTTGCTTAAACAACTGAGCCACCCAGGTACCCCTAAATAAATAAAATCTTAAGAAGTGTGGTAGAGGGTACATGGAAGTGATACCTTGTGGTCTCCATCATGGCCTATTTGAGGTGATTTTTTCTTTAACTGCTAAACTGTACTACTAACAATAAAAACCAGTCAAAATTTAAAACATTCTGATCACAAAGAGTCTGTACATCAAGAGGAAACTACTCGCTGCACAGAAACAAGATAGGTAACTAGCCTAATAAGGGACTGAAAAACTGGGGAATAGAAGACTTCATACTTAAAGAATTAAGTCTACAAAATAACTAAAATTAAGAGTGGTTTTAAGTCTGTAGGTACAAAGAGGTAAGACGATCTAGTTGAATCAGCTAAACCTATTATGTTGACAATAAATTGTTGATTCTGTGCCACAGTATTCTAGCTGCCAGATTGGGCCTTCCAGCAGCAATACTTGAAACAATGAATTTGCTTAAAGAACTACATATAAAGTAATGACAATGAATACAATTTCCTTATTTATGTCTGAGAAAGAACAAATTTTAGAATTCTGAAATGCTATCGAAAAGAATAATGGAAAAGAAAAGAAAGGTCTTAGGGCGCCTGGGTGGCTCAGTGGTTGAAGCCTCTGCCTTCAGCTCAGGTCATCATCTCAGGGTCCTAGGATCCATCGGGCTCTCTGCTCAGCAGGGAGCCTGCTTCCTCCTCTCTCTGCCTGCCTCTCTGCCTACTTGTGATCTCTGTCAAATAAATACATAAAATCTTTAAAAAAAAAGAAAAGAAAAGAAAGGTCTTGATGCTTAACTATCAAAACTCTTGATGACAGATACTCGTAATAAAACTCCACTTTCCAGGGACGAAAAATATAGCCTACCCCAATTTACTGCTTCCATGAATCAGCTAACAACAGAGTTTGCTGCTAAACTCTAGACTTAAATGAACCTAACATATTAACGATCAGGGGGAAAGGAGGAAGAAACTCATTTTTTTTGCCTTTATACTTTCTAAGCCATATACAATTTGGTAATGTTAACCCCATAATTCTGTACCTTCTACTACCTAATACCTAATAAAAGGGGAGAGGGACTCAACAGAATTCTAAATGATAGAAGTAAGTGCTCATGAAATAAGAGATCACCTACTCAGTTTAAAACCATAAACTGTCATAAGTTCTCTGAGTAGCCAATTCATATAAAGTCTCATTTTGTGTGTGTGTGTGTGTGTGTGTGTGTGTGCGCGCGCGCGCGCACGCACACACACACACACACACACACACACTTAAAAACAAGAAAGCAGGGACACCTGGGTGGCTCAGTCAGTTAAGTGTCTGCCTTCAGCTCAGGTCATGATCCCGGGGTCCTGGGATGGAGTCCCAGGCCACCCTGTCAGCGGACAGCCTGCTTCGCTTGTTCCCTCTGCCTGTTGCTTCCCCCTGCTTCTGCTCTGTCTAATTAATAAATAAATAAATAAATAAATAAATAAAATCTTTTAAAAAAGAGAGAAAGCAGGCTTCCAACAAAGATGCAGTGTAGGAGGACCCTATATTCACCTTGCCCCAGGCTAGATAACATGTCAGTGCAAATAACCCAAAAAACAACTTCAAGACTGGCAGAACAAACTCCAAAACAAAATGGAGAGAAAGGCTACACAGGAGATGGCAGGAAGAGCAGAGATGTGGTGGTGAGCTCAACCTGCAGGTCTGCCTACCAGAGGGAGCCACCGGAACAGAGACGTGTAAGAAACAACTATCAACACCAGGGGCCTACGAAGAGAAGATGAATCCCCACAGCATTTGGCTCTGAATATTAGATGAGCCAAATTTCATGAATTCTTAAAACCAGTGGGGACCTCAATCCTCTGGAACTTTAAAAATCAGGGGCGCCTGGGTGGCTCAGTGGGTTAAGCTGCTGCCTTCGGCTCAGGTCATGATCTCAGAGTCCTGGGATCGAGTCCCGCATCGGGCTCTCGGCTCAGCAGGGAGCCTGCTTCCTCCTGTCTCTCTGCCTGCCTCTCTGCCTGCTTGTGATCTCTGTCAAATAAATAAATAAAATCTTAAAAAAAAAAAAAAAAATCAGCAGGCTCAATATGATAAAGCCCAGAGGGCAAGAGGAAGCCAAGTCCCTGTCCTTAATGAAACAGCGTAGGGAACAGCTCACAGAGATAGAACTTGCAGCAGCAGCAGCTTGAAGAGTCCTTTGGGGGCACAGAGGAGGGAGAGTTAGTTGCTAACGTCAGAGTTCACTAAAGAACTTCTCTAGGAACAAAGGATCTGACAGGTGCTGTTTCTCTCCCCCACCAGCTCTCCCAGCACAATCACACGGCCACCTGTGGGAACCAGCAGGGAATCAGCACTCACGAACTTGCGTACACCATGCCCCAATCGCTCCAGCCAGGACTGCTCTAGTTCCAGGGCTATGGCTCCCCTCCCTAAGACAACCTATGCAAACCCTGCCAACACTGTCTCACCCGAACTCCAGTAGAGGACGCACACACAGTTAAAACTGCACCACCTCCACCCATACACGCTTTGCACAGCAGCCCTGTGGAAGCTACACCTCCCCTGTGCAAGAGGACCAACACATACAACTTGCACACCTGCCTGCCTGCACTTTGGGGAGCAGCCACAGCCAGCCAGCCCTATCTTAGCAGTGGCTGCTCATCCCCTGTGGAAGAGGACCAGCACCCAACTTGTTAAAAGAGCCCACTACTTTCAGAACAAGAGACATAACTGACTTTTCTAAAATACAGAAACAGAGTTAGGCAAAATGAAAAGACAGTAGGAATATGTCCCAAATGAAAGAATAGGGCAAAAATCACAACAGAGGACCTAAGTGAAGCAGCAAGAAGTAATATGTCTGATAGAAAATCTAAAGTACTGGGGTGCCTGGGTGGCTCAGTGGGTTAAAGCCTCTGCCTTCGGCTCAGGTCATGGTCCCAGGGTCCTGGGATCGAGCCCCACATCGGGCTCTCTGCTCAGCAGGGAGCCTGCTTCCTCCTCTCTCTCTCTCTGCCTATCTGTGATCTCTGTCTGTCAAATAAATAAATAAAATCTTAAAAAAAAAAATCTTAAGTACTGATCATCAAGATACTCACTGGACCTCAGGCAAGAGTAGAAAACATGAGTGAGACCCTTAACACCGAGAT